AGCAGGAATATCACTGTAGGTAGTGCACAGTAATAACAGTATAGCCTCAGAGTAGGTCTGACAATACTTGAATTTGGCTCTACAAGCAATCCCACTGCTCCTAACAATAGTTCCATTATGCCACCGGTATACAGAGCGTTGAATTTTAGGCAAAATGATAGGGAGAAACATATTCAAAATAACTGAAAAGACTAGTCTGCACTAGAATGTAAGCCATCTAAGAACAGAAATCAGTGCATCTCCCATGGAACTCTTTTCTGATACAGGGTTGGCTAGTATTCTAATATTATAAAATCTTGTCTGTCTGTCTGTCTGTACATAATGCTTTATTTGCACTCTGAAACAACCAGAGTGCCCCAAGAGCGTTCTGGACAGAAGGCAGTGGCAGTGGTGGCATGCTGCCATGACAGCAGGGACAGAACAGCTGGAGCAGGGGGTTGAAGCCAGTACTGCTGGCTTCGCCCTCCCCCTATTCCCCCCTGCTCCATGCAGGTGGCAGCGACAGAGCAGCTGGAGCGGGGGGGTGAAGCCAGAGCTGCTGCCCGCCAACCCCCTGGCCCTGCTCCTTGCAGGCAGTGGTGGCACGGGGTGCTGGAGGGGCAAGCTTCCCCCCCTGCTCCTGGGAGACAATGGTGGCACAAGGTGGTGCATGGCAGTGCTCTGTTATCTCCCCCTCACCCCATTCCTGATGGGCAATTGGCTAGTATATAAATGATGTCCATTTGTTTCAGAAACTGCTTTAACTAGCAAAACCGCATTGGAAAAAATTGCCTTAAGAGTCATGTTTATCACCCATTTTTTAACAGGGAAGGAGTCTCTCTCTCTTTCAAACTGTTCCACCATAACAGAGAAAAGAACTAAAGGTCTTTAAAAACTGTTCTCATGGTTTTTCAATTTCTCCATTGACATATTTCTGATGTTACATTTTCTTGTTCTTTATGTCTTTTCCTCTTGGATTTCCATAGTTCAACTTTTACTCTCCTGCACGATATTGCTCTCCACTGCAATATAAACACCTTGATGGCTAGACCTGTATTTAATTACATTTAATAGCAGACAGAAAGGTAACAGAGGGCTAGACTTATGATCCAGCCAGTTGCTGGCGTGGCAGAGTAAGTCTATACCTAGGATTACAGAATTCCTAAAGTTTTACAGTAGAGAAACCAAAAAGGCAACAGAAGTTACTTAAATCTTGGCAAGAACAAGTGGAACAGATTGTTTTCCAGTTCTTTTTTTCATGAGCTTAATAAGAGCATTTGTGACAACTGTGATTTGTCTCAAAGTAAGACTAATGCTGGAAATCTGAGTAGGAGTTTTTAGCTAATAACCATAAGAATCATATATCCATTTTGAAATTCCCCTGCCACAAGGTTTGTAAATTTAAAAAATTTACATTAGGTGCCTAAGTACTTAACTCTTATGACCCCCCCCCCCCCCCACACACACACAGCTGCAATGGCATCTTTTCCTAAGCCACCCCCATACTCCAAACCAGGGCTGTCCAACTGGCCTGTGAAGGGTTAGTATGTGGCTTCTGGACACACTTCTCTTGCTGCTATGTGGCAGGGAAAGGCCTGGGCATCTATGCATAATGTTCATTGCCTCTGTAGCAGAGGCAAAAGGGGAGGAAGGGAGGGCTGGAAAAGTGACTTCAAGAAAATGGGACTGCAGCCTGCTCAGGGAGGGATGCAGCCCACTCAACATGCAGCCTGGGAGAGCTGCACATAGGCACGACATGAGGCCCTGCAGCCACTCGAAAGTTGGGCAGCGAAAAAACATAGTTCAAATATGCAACTCTCTGTACAGATTAGATTCTAGCATAACATGTTTCTGACAATTCTGTCTTTGGCAATGCTGGAACTCTGGAAGTTATTTAAAAAAAAAAAAAAAGAATCAAAGGTAAAACAAGTTGCTAAGCAAAAGCAGGTTTCCTTTTCCATTTAACAGTAAAAGATCATGCTAACCATCCTTAATCTCTTCTGGGAAAACACTGCATATCTTTCAGGTATAGATTTATATTCAATTTAAAATCAATTAAACAGCTTTTCATTGCTTAAGATTCCTTTAAAACCCCCCACAAAAACAAGGTTATGTCCAAGTATAAGTATTTTAGGATGTCAGGCTGGAGAAGGAAAAATCTATGAGGTTTAAGGGGATGTTTGTGTGTCAAGCAAAACTAAATAAATACATTTTGGTTTGTCATCCTTTATATTAGGGGCTTGATTTTGCTACCCTTATGTTAAATAGTTCCTTACATTGCGAAGAGCTGAATGAATTCCAATGTAACTATTAATAATATAAATGTGGCAGGATCATGACCCTCAGCAATGGCTTCAGCAATCTCTACTGTCTCCAGAAAAGTTTATCTAAACAAGGGGTAGGCAACCCCTGGCATGGATGCCAGAGTGTGGCACGCAAGGGTATTTTGCTTGCCACATGCACCTTGGAGCAGACGGTGGGGAAGGGGCCAGAGCTGCACTGCCACAACAAGGATCAGGTTCCTCGCAGCTCCCCCACCATCTGCCCCTGGCATGCCAACATCTTACAAGTCTAGGTTGTGGGTGTTTTTGGCACTGCCCAAAAACATTGCCAGCTCCTGATATAAACCAAGTCCTTTGTTTGATTACTTTCATGAAAATGAACACTGCTGTTAATAGTTAGTACCATGTTTAGTAGTAAATCCAATTCTCACTCATAAACAGGACAAGATATTATACTATTGTACCCAAAGGACACAACTTGGCTCAGGTGCTACGAGATCCTCCCCCTTGTTAGAACCGGGGATTCTAAGGCATTTTTCCCCCTTCTTCCCACTCCTCTAGTTTTTTTACCGAAGTGTCCAGGGACAGACATATCATGAGGATCTCAAAGGTCTATAATGATACAAGCTTGACATTTCACATATAAAACCAATTAAATCACCTTCCTTAAGTTATCAGTCTGGACACAAAAACCATGGTTGGTTTTTTCAGTCCACACTGATAACTTAAGGAGGGTGATTTAATTAGTTTTATATGTGAAATGTCAAGCCTGTATCATTGCAAATGTTCTATATATGTATGAACATACTGAGACTAATGCTGCTAACTTTCAAGTTTTTATCATTTTATCAAGCTATCTTGTGTTTTTCTTAAATCCCAGTTCCTGGGATCTTGTTATTTTGTCATACTCAGTTTTCTTTAGAGATAATATCTGTAGTTGTAATTATTGCTGAGTAAACAGAAAGAAAAAAAATCAAAAGAACTAAAAAATAGTATTTGTATAGATTCTATTTTTGGAAACCTACGTCAATTTTCTTCTAGTTAGGATTGACTTTACTGCAAAGCTACTTATTAGTTTTCATTACTGTAAAGCATTATTATGTTAGAAGCACAAACTTTAGACTAACTTGTTGACTGCAGTAAAATAAATTTTATGGAAATCTTTAAAATGATTTAGGACATCAATCCAACTTCTTTATAATATTCTCAAAAGTGATTTCATGACATTCATCTGCAGAAAGATAAATTCTTAGCAAAAGATTGGAAACACATTTTAAAATGAATATAGTGCTATATGTCTGTAGGATATCAGATTTACAGTCTTGGAGATGAAATGATCAAATACATCTATTGGCACCTTTCAACTCTAGGGACTGCAAGAGTCTATCTTATATTCATTATAATAAACTGGTTCTACTCCGAGGATAAATTTGTAAGCAACCATTCATCCTTCTTAAGGAACCTAAACTGCCAAGTTCAGCAAGTCTCAGTCCTGTACAGGCTCTTTTTTAATACACAGGTGAAGCTGATTATAAGACATACTAGTTCAAAGTCATTATCACTTTACAGCCTATTTGTGTGCTTTTCCTAGTGCAAAAAGGGTTTAAAGGTGGTGGGTCTAGCTACTTAAGAAC